CATTCCGTACTGCACTGAAATGAAATGAACTAAGTATAGCTTGCTTGCCCATCCTTGTTTTAGCAAGGACAAAGCCCGACTAATCTCTGTTCTAGCCTAATCTCTACTCTATTTGCTTGCAGTTTGTGGTGCCTTGTGACAAGGTTCCGAGCATGCCCACCATCACCTTTGTCATTAATGGATCCAAGTTCCCACTGCTTCCCTCTGCCTACATTGCCCAGGTATGTATATGATATACGAAGCTTCAGATGGTATGATGAGTGGACCTCCTGCACAGGGGTGCATAGGAAAATTGGTATCATTGCGTCTGGTTGTTTTTCTCCTGGATAGCTTTAGAAGCTATACACCTTGAATGGATTGGTCATTGCCATTTGAATGGTTCTCCTAGATTTGCAAATGCAATAGGCCTTCTAAAAAGTGAATTGACTTTGACTTCTTCATACCAAGAGTTTGAGGAGAGCTTATGAATGCATGAAGAATTTCTCAGTTTTGACTGTTTCACCCTGAGCAGATGAAGAGCACACTGCTTGCACCATTATTTGACCTATCCACCTTGCCGTCAGCTTTAGAGATGTGAAGGCCTAGAAACCTGTACTATTTTAGAGGAGAAAAATGTTTCCCCCCTCCCTTTCTTTTTTCATTCATTTTTCAGCCTCCACAATATTTACATTTCTCCTGGGCCTTCACATCTCTAGTCCTGAACTTGTTCATGCAAATTCACATTGGGGTCCATCTACAGTGACTTATCTCCCATAGTATAGACTTGTAAAGAAGCCCCAGTCAAATGCATTTTTCACAATCACATGGTTGCAGAGAGCTGAATTAGAAATGGATATCTGCAGTTGTTAATCTGCAGTTGTTAATCACAGCATGATTTCACACTTAGCAGATCAAAAGCATTGAATGACATTTCCTCTTCAGTAAAGGTGTAACTAAAAGCATGTTTTCCTTCCGCAGGACGGTGGAAGTTGTGTAGTTGCAATTGAGACCACGTATGTCCCATCTCGGAATGGACAACCTCTGTGGATCCTGGGTGACGTCTTCCTTAAGGAATATTACTCCGTCTTCGATCTGGCCAACAACAGAGTGGGCTTTGCAAAATCAGCTTAGACAATGCCATACCTATCTCCTTTTCATTCCAATGCTGGTGTTCCACGGATTCTAATATAATGACTTTAAAGTAGACCTACAATATACATCATAGATACTGTATATTTATGTTCTATTGACTGTCTCTCATGGGTAGAGATAAATAAATCTGTCCAATGTAATTACACTCACATTCTCTTTTCCCATCCTTTAATAAATTTCATCTTTTTTGCTGTAACTTATCAGTTTGCTTGAAAATCTGTAGGGATTTGCAAATACTTTTTTCTCCCGACGTACATGTTTTGGTACAGATTTTTACTAACACACACATTTTCACTAGGCAGTTTTCTGTAATGTAAGAATAGAATTTTAATGAAATGCACACATCTGAGTATATTTCACTTTGGCATATATAGTTTTGGATAAAATGTTACGCGATACACATATTTTGAACACCTTCGGCCATTTGCATTAGAAAATTTTGAAAAATGCTAATATCACAGAATAACATGGTTTCAATTCAGACATAAATCTCAAGAAGTAAGAATAATTTCCCCACCATTACCCATATTTTGTCTTTAATTACTTGTTATGAGATCCACTGCTACAAATTAAATTCTAATATACCATATTGTTCCTGAGGTTTGTTTAAAATATTTACAAAGTGTGAAAATGTCAAGGAGAAGGGAGGCAGAATAGGGAACTAATGGAAACATGGAGAGGGAATCCAATTAAAGCAGGAGGAGAAGACCTTGTGAAAAATTTATTTATTTTATTTATTGTTACATTTATGTGCCACCCCTCTCCCCCAGAGGGTGGCTCTGGGCAGCTTACAATTAAAAACTAAGACAATAAAACTATAAAGATATAAATACCACCCAGTTAAAACTTAAATAACAAATCTATAAAAGCAATATGCAAATCAAGAAGATGGGGGAAGCAGTATCAATCATCCCATGAGCCAGTTCCAGCAATGCGAGCTCCCATCAGGCCCACACGCCATCCGGCATAGCCAAGTTTTTACACCTTTTTTGAAGGCCAGGAGAGTGGGGGCAGCCCGCAGTCAGCTGGCAAGCTGTTCCACAGGGCGGGGGCATGGCAGAAAAGGCCCTCTTCCTAGACCCCACCAGCCAAAATTTCCTGACTGGAGGGGTCTGCAACATGAACTTTCTGCCAGACCGAGTGGGGCGGGCAGATATAACAAGGGTGAGATGGCTCCTCAGATAACCTGGTCTTGTGCCATGAAGGGCTTTAAAGGTGATAACCAACACCATGAATTGGTACTGGAAGCAAACTGGCAACCAATACAGCCGCGTAACAGAGGTGTTATTTGTGCTGCCATAGGGGCGTTCAAGATTGTCCACGCCACTGCATTTTGTACCAGGTCTGGCTTCCAAATACCCTTCAAGAGTAGCCCCATGTAGAGTGCATTGAAGTAATCCAAATGGGAGGTGACCAGGGTATGAGTGACAGCACAGAGGGCCTCCTGATCCAGGAAGGGGTGTGACTGACGCACAACACAAAGCTGCGCAAAGGCACTCCTAGCCACCACTGCCACCTGCTCTTCGAAGAGGAGTTGTGAGTCTAGGAGGACCCCCAGATTACATAAAGAGATTAAATGGATTACCCCCAAATATCATAGGACATTCTGCAGGTGTAATTTTGCATTTAATACACAAGAAGATAAATTCTTCAACCTGTTTCAATCCTATAAACAATAACTTGAGAACCATAATTTAATAGCCTGCCTAACGTGTTTGACTACCACTAGTAGACCTCTTGATCAGTATGCCCAAGTGAATAGTACCAAGTTGGGAAAAGATAATCTTAGAGTTGGAATCAATTGTCCTTTGATGGGACATAATTCTATAACCTCCTTTTGTGATGAAATATCTCCAAAATGTTTTTTCAGAATTGTTTTCTTTAGTGGCTTTCATATTTGAATTATAATGTTTGAATGGGTTCATACATCACACTAAGTCATGGTTTAGCAACTATTCATCAAATAAACAGAGTGATTAAGTCCACCCAACATACTAAGACAAAAGCAAGCAAAGCACTTTATTATTTGATCATTATTATAATTATTATTTGTGCAATCAGCAAACCTAACACATTCTAGAAGAATGTTGAAGGTTTGCGATAGGATTTAAGGAATATTCTTTGAATGTTGGGACATCATTTCTAAATACAGGTAACAATAACAGGAACAACAACAACAAAGCCTGTTTCTCCCTTAGAGCCACTTTCTAGTGTCAGATAAGCCATTTTAAATTTTTTAGCTTGTACTATTGCTGAGAAGAGCACAAAAATAGTAGTATAACAGTTCACACAGTGGTCATCTGGGAATTCCAGGGCTCTTGCTTAAGCTTGGAAGTTTTTAAAAAAATGGCCCAGAAGAAGGCAATGGCACCAATTTCTGTAATATTGCAAACAAAACTGCATGAATGTGTTTTCACTTTCATCTAAAACACAAAAGGCCTCATGAATACAGGTAATCGTTGCATAACGACAGTAATTGGGACAGGAATTTCCATTGCTAAGCAATGTGGTCATAAAGCACAACATCATGTGACTATGCCACTTACCAATGGAGTCCTCAGTTACCATAATTAAGCGAATCACTGTGGATCATTAAGCAAGGACCTCACATGACCACAACTTCTGGAAGTTGAAGTCCACACATCTTCAAGTGGCCAAGGATGAGAAACACAGATGTAGATTAATGATTTCCAATCCCAGTGAAAGGTGGATAATCAAAAAGCACATAAGAGATATATGGAGGACCAAATATACTTTTGCTTTCCCTGAGCTCTTTTTGTCTTGTGTAGAAAGGAGGAAGGAAGGAGAACCCATTCAAGAAAATGTGAAGAGGAAAAGCATACTCGAGTAATTCCTGAAGAAATAAGTAATTCTTCCTGTTTTGAAATACCACTGAATCTGAAGTGGCGTTTCTTATTAACTAATAACAAATTACTTGCATGTGAATATTAAAGCAATACACATTCATAACTTAATTTGTGTGTGTGTGTGATTTAGGAAATAAATGAACTTGTTAAATGAGCATTAGTGGCTGAACTCCACACAGATAGGGGGTAATTTAACATCTCATTCAGTAGTTGAGATTTCTCAAGCTGATAATATCCAGATGTGTTAAACAACAGCTCTCATCCTTCCTAATCAGCCACTGGCTGCTAGTTTTCAGAAGAATGAATTGAATGCACATTGCGTGCATTCAGAGATCGATGTCACTGGAACTCCTTTCCTAATTTCATTACAGCAGTGATGTTTGTCTAGTTTTTGAAGAAAGCTTTAATAACATATACTTTAAATATTCTTCTTTTTCTTCTGATCTGGCTTCATGGTATCTTCTTCATGGTCTTTTATTATACAGTGGTACCTCTAGTTACGAACGTCCCTCCTTACGAATTTTTCAAGATACAACCAGC